GGTGGCCTTGGCCGGGGCATGCCGATTTATTACTCGCCCCGTCCCTGCCGCTTTCGGAAGTGTTTGTGCAAGGTATCACGAGGTTGGACATTTACCAGTACACCGGACGTTGAATGATACTCAAGCACACATGATTGAATGCACTGGTGCGACACACGGCGGTTGTGTGCAGTTGCAAAAATTATTGGTCCGGTCGTTTGTATCCAACCTTAGCAAAGTTCGTATGTCTTATCCTGTTTTACCGTTCTCGTCAAGGAGTGCTTCAACGGCCCGGCATTGCGAGGAAACGAAAGCCTGTCCTTCACTTGCTGTTTGACTGTTGTTTTGGCATGCTTCGTCTCCATTTCACCGTGCTCTCATGCGCAACTTCCGGGCCAGATCGAACCTACAAACAAGCGAATGTTCTGGAAATGCCTCTTGCTGTCACGCTGTCCCTTCACGACTTACTGCAGCAGCAAGCACTCGGTTTTTCCGACATGCTATCAGTGTCAGGCTTCACGCTTCTCAGCGGCTTGTAAGGTCCCAGGCGTGGGATGCAGCCAAAGTAAAGTGGTCGGTGTCTGCGAGGTGGAGAGGGCGGCACTGAAAGGTCAGCGACCACCAGGCCGCCAGGCGCTCGTTTCGTAGGAAGCGCGCCGCAAGGTTGGCGCGCGGCACTGCGGGTGCCACATAGGCCAATGCCAAGGACACGTGGCCCAAGTCCAGGCGGTGCTTGTTTGGCGAGAGGCTTCCAAGGAGGCCACGGGGCACAGAGGGGCTCTGAGAGGGCTCTGCCCAGCTGAGAAGCTCGACGGCACGGTCGTCCATTGCCACGAGGCCACCGACAGCTAGGCCGCAAGCAGCCAGGTGCGCTGCGACACTCCGCCCCACTGCAGCGCCGAAACTGTGTCCACAAAGTATCAGTTGAGGGGCACTGAAAGCGCTGAGGGCGGACAAGGCGGACATCACGCCGCACGGTAGCGATGTTCGCAGGCACTCCTCCACGGGCTGCAGCAAGACAAGCTGCAGCCAGGAAGTCTGAGCGAGCTCCTCGTAGCAAGGGCCCCGGACACGTGCAGCACCACCAAGGACGAGCATGAGGCCTCTGGGATCTGTCTCTGAGGCTCCGAGCCGCGCGGCACACGCGGCACGCACAGCAGCGGCCCTCCGAGGCCTCCGAGGCCTCAAAGCCTTCGACCGACGGAGCAGAAGCGGCGGCGGCCTTCTGCTCCACTCCGGCTCCGGCCGGCCCGGGGGAGCTCTGGTAGTTTCAGGCGTAAGGACGTAAGGCTCAATAAGCGAAGTGAAGAAGTGAAGGGGAACAGCGAGAGGTGATCAGCCAGTTACAGCTAGTTGTCTTTGATCCATGTCTGCTGCTTCACCATGGGAAACAAAGAGACATCTCAAGAGTGTCAAAGCTAGGCCCAGCTTACAGCACTGTGCTGCCACTGGCGTTCCACCGTGCACCATGGACGCTCATGACATGACTCCTTGCGTTTGTCTTGGGGAACTTTGTCTGGTCAAACGTCATCTGGGCCCTGCAGAGCTCTTCGCTGGAAGCCATGCAGATTGACAACGGCTGGCAGTCACCGCTCCTTTTGCACGCAAAGCTGGAACATGCCTGGCACTTACAAGCCTGGAGCTGTCCAGAGATCTTGCATCAAGAATGCACTGCAAACTCGTCCTTGACTCCGGAAGGTCACCGGGCACAAGAGCATTGCAGCGCCTCCATCAGCGAGAAAGCTCCGAGTCTCGATCAACCGATGCACCCGCTGCCAAAGCGCACCCGGTTCAGTAGCCAGGAGTCCAACTTCCCAGAATGGAACTCAACCTTTCGCAACATCACTGCGCCGGAACTTGGCTCCTTGTGCCTGAGCGCCTCAGACCTGGAAGACTGGTGCTCCATTACATCGTCAGGGGCAGCTCATGACAGGGGAGGAGGAGCCAGGTGGTAGGTGGTGTTTCGGTGGATCCTTGCGGGAATCTGCTCTTCTTGGGTTCAGTAGCTGAGCTCACTGAGCTGGGCCGCAGAAAAGCGCAACTTGCAGTATTTCCAAACGCAAACGAACGGCGGTTAACGAAGAGCGGTCCTCAGCTCACTGCAATGCACGGACTGGGTCCTGCATCAGCTTTCGCCCAGTGCCAGGGCCAGTTCAGCATCGTCTGCCTCTCTCACACCACGCAACACGGACGGAGTCACTGTGCCGTCATAGTCAGGTCTTTCCAATCCTTCCAGGTTGAGACTTCAGGGACCTGACGGTGCAGGAGTTCACCATCAGGCACGCCGCCAGGCCTTGGCCACGGCCCAGCGCAGGCAGCGCAGGCAGCTCCAGGGCCCCCATCTCGGAGAGATGGGGGACATCGGCATGGATGCTCCTGGTGGACTCTAAGCAAGGCCTCCTTCCGCCAAGCCTCTGGCACTCAGATGAAAGGGTCATCAGCTCAAAAGGCCTGTTCTTCTCAAGTCGGACAGCTAGCCGGCTAGAACCCGGCTAGAGCCCGGCTAGCCAGGCCGGCTGTCTGGGTATGACTGGAAAAGCTTCAACCCTTCAGGCGGCTCTGCAGCCTACGGCACGACTTGCACAGACTTCACGAATCACAGGAGCACGGGCGGCGCAGGGGGGTCCATACAAGACCTCGATATCACCGTGACCGTGACTGAGACTGACTCTGCTCAGCTGCTCAGCACTGCGATCGCCGTGGGCATCTGCCCCCCACACATTGACATGCTGCTGCAGAGGGCTCGCCGCTCACGGGCCGAAACCGGTCGCGTCTCTCACAACGCTCCACGGCCCAGTCATGGTGCCTAAAATTCGCGCCTAACATCTGCAACAGTGACCTCCATGTCCTTGTGACATAGCTGCAGGTAGCATCTGCATTCTTCGACTCAATCTGGCCGACGCAGACACTGCCGCCGCAAGTGCCTGGGGGCAGAAACACTCAGGCAGGAAACCATCACAGAAACAAGCAGGTCTGTTGTTCGCAGGCTCGCTCTGCCTCGCTTCCTGCTGGCCTTCGGCTCGCTCGCTCTCGCTCTCTCTGTCTCTCTCGCCCTCTCGCTGTGGTTGTTGCTGGATCTGTTGCTGTTGCTATTGCCGTTAGCGATTGGTGGTGCTGCGGGCAGGGGCGGGGCGGGGGTGGGGGAGTGGGCGCTCAGTGTTTGTGTTGCTGCTGAAAGCAATGTCAATGTCACGACGTCACAGCGCATGTCAGTGCCAATGCCACCCGCAAAAGGAATGTGAATGTTGACATTGCCATGTCGTGAAAACGTTGCTACTGTTCTTGATGTTGCTACGTTCATGTACATTAACTGTGCTAGTGTTGTTGCTGCTGCTGGTTAACGCTGTTACTGGGCCGCTTGCTGGTGCTGCTGCTGGCGCTACTGCGCTGACACTGGGTCACTGGGCCTGGTGCTGGGGTGCCGTCGGTTGGCGCTGCAGGTGGTGCTGGTGCTGGTGGTGTGGTGTGTGCTGGCGGGTGCTGCTGGTGGTGCTAGTGTCAAGAACCCGATCAAAGAGCGAGGACAACGTGTCGAATTGAAACAGCTCACCTCCCCCATCCTGCCTTCAGGATGGAGTGACATGCCAAAAGCGCAGGTCAGCATGTCGGAGGCATGGCGCAGCAGCATCGGACTGTGGAAAGGCAGCGCGGCAAGACCATTACGGTTTCGGATTCATGTTCTGGGCTGGGGCTTGATCGTAGAAGTCCTCCTGGGCCGTGGCCACGGCACTGTTGCAGTCAACACGTGAGTTCAGTGCCGCAGCGGCACAGGATGGCGTCCACAGCGATATCCTCCCATTCGATCAGCGAGCCTCCAGAAATCATCCATGTGCTTCACATATGCATAGTTTGATCCGGCATCTACTCATCTGCACATGTGAATCATGTGAACGGGTTGCTTGCGCATGTGCGTATAATTATGAAAAAAGTGCATCCGCTCATCCGTCCACCCATGCATGCATGCATACACAATCATGCATATATAAGCATACTCACATACATACAAGCATGCATACGCTCGCCATACATACATTGCGTTACACTGCATTACGTGACATTACATCACGCTACATTGCTTTGAACTACACTACATTACATTACACTACACTGCATTACAATGCACTACAGTACATTACACTACCTTACACTACATTACACTACATTACCCTACATTACGCTACAGTACGCTACATTAATTAAACTACACCAGACTACATTACACTACACTACGTTACACTACATCACATTGCATTGCATATTGCAATACATTGGCATTACAATGCATGACACTGCTTTACATTGCACTGCATTGTATTCCATTGCATTACTTTAAGTTACATGAGAGTCATACTTCCACTGTGATCGCGGGGCTGTGCGTAGTCCGTGCCTTGCGCAGTACAAGGGCTGGAATGTTTGTTTGCATACCAATTGTGAAATACATTGCGCCAAGTGCAACATTCCTGGAACCGTTTAGGTTGGATTCTTAGCCGCAATGACGGAAGTTGCGAACGCTTTGTTTCTCGTTGCATCTTTGATCTGCTCTTGGAGTTCAACCCTTGCCAGCATTTTGCGTGCACACCCTGCTGGCTTTACAAGTTGACTCCTTTCACAGTATGACCAAGCTCATGGCGTGCAAACCCGCTATGCGCGGACATTATGAGCACTCATCTGCTTGTTGTGAGATGGCCTCGATGTGAGCGAACCAATCCCACAGCAGCCCTGACATTGAGACATCACTAAACCTGTCTTGACATCCTACGTATCCGCACTACACTAGCTCGAACTCTGCAAAGCTATGCCTCCGTCAATCCATCCATCCAGACATAGACGCATCAAATGGCGTAGACACATAGATCATAGAGACATACTTAAATTAATACTGAGGGGAACGCAGAAGGGGGCAACGGTCTGTCAGGCAAAGGTTGACCCTTCGACGAAGTTCGTTTTTTCAAAAACCCTTCGGCGAACTTCTGCGAACCTTTTGGGGGTTCGTGAGGGGTTCGTGGGTTGTTCGGGTACGAGATGAAGTTCTTAATTGTGGTTGAAAATTTGCGAAGTCCGGCAAGGGTGCGATTGATAAGTTGAGAAGGATGGGCAGGACACGATTGAGAATTTTGGACATGTGGGCGAGGCTTCCACAGGCAAGCATGGGATTCGACGAATTCTTATTGAGGAATTACCCAGTGGACCGCCGATTAAAAGCATCAATGCTGCTGATTGTGTGTAAGACATTTGCTATACCTTAGCAGAAAACAACAGAGTTTCTGTGCTAGTATGCTATGTGTTGTGGTATTGGGTGAATGTTTGTTCCATGTTTTCGTTCTTGTCTTGTGATGTGCGCGTGAAATTTGAGCATTAAGGCTTGGGCAGAGGACGCTGTGGGAACCTCCATTTGAAACTTTTCAAGACTGTTACTTGACACGGAAGCAAGATAGAACGTAGTAAAAGCCCAGAGCCAACAGGAAAGCACGCACCAAACAGCGCTTATATAATAGTATTGTCAATGCAATTGCTAGAAATTTATCCATGCTGCTGCTTTTGCTGCGAGCAATAATGTGCGACTTTGACACTGGGCAATACAAATACCGATCAGTAAATCGGGTTGTTCTGAAGGAGACAACTCTAAACGGTTTATACGCGATCGTGAGTTATGTAGATGCAGGTTAGGCACAGCAGCAACTAAACGACGTACAAGCACCAAAACTTTCAGAGAACGCAGGACAAAATTTAGTAATAAGTGTCAGTAATCATAATCTTGCTGATAAAGTAACTTCGAAGCAGCAAACCATGTAAACACACACACACATCTATAATAACACCGAAATAAACAATCTTATTGCTGTGTAGATGGTAAAGCACGTAACCCCAAAACTCAGATCAAGGCTAATAGTACAAAACAAGTTTAATTCTGTTTAAAACTTAGCTATTCTACCCAATATTAAAGGATCATACAAGATGGTATGCTAATTAATTTCACGTTATTCCACTAAAACGGAAACAGATTCAAATATCTGAATTGACAACCAGGCATTCGCTCCCCACATTACCCAACGATTATGCTGCAACACCACAGGTAAATCTCAGTTCTTTATCAAAAG